GGTTAGCAGCACAATGAGAATGATTTCTTGCCTAGATTTTACACTCACAAAGGCTGGGTCCAGAGAGCATGCTCTCACCACTATACCTTCCTGCCTCTCCCCCCAGCTCTCTGGCAGATGGGCACAATCAGATGGCCTGAGGTTTTGAAAAGTGACAGAGTAGCAGGAGACAGTCATTTGCAGCTCTCACGTGGAGGTAAGCATCCAGGGCAGCCTCAGCGACTCTCGGCTTGGGGTGACGAGTCTCTGGCTGTGTGCTTGGCAGTCTGGTCTGACCCCAATGTCAAGACTACCTTGGATCCTGCCCTTTGGCTTAGCCTGCTCTCCAATCCCTATCAATTCTGTGAGCTTCCTGCTTCCCCGCCAACAAATTATTCTTCGGCTTAAATGGTGTGCAACCAAGAAGCCTGCCCAATGTGATAAGCCATTAATTTACCCAGCAGCCAACTGCTGCAATGAAAGCGGGGCTCTGCAGAGGGTCCTGCCGTGCTTTCCACTTTCATAGCCCTGGGATTTCTGCTGGTATGCCTCTGATTCCTTGGGCAGTGTTTGCAGCAGTGGCTGCTGCCCTTGCAGGAAGCCGGGCCCCAGGCCACCTGCATTCAGATGAAGCCACGTCTGTGCTGTGTGTCTCCCAGACAAAAGTGATTGATCCAGGAGCGCACGCTCACTCACACGGGGCCGCAGGCTCTCTGACAGGGACAAGAAAGGCCCAGGGGGCTCTAGAACTCCAAAGGGGCCAGAGCCAAGTCATGTTGGTGGCCGTGGAGAAGGGCCCCAGGAACGCCCTGGTACTTGCTTTCCCGCTTTTTACTATTTGATCCTTTTCATTTCATGAGATGCCCTGGTAAGAATCCTTCCAATAAAGTCCCTCTTTTGCCTGAATTTCAATCTCTGCCTTTAGTAACACAATAGCTTGGCTACACTGACTTGCTGACACCCCTCTCTGTCTGCCTTCTCAATCCAGCCATCTCCCTCCCTGCAACGCCACACATGGGGCTTCTTACAAGGACACTTTTCTCTTGTGATTCACGTATCACAGAAAAAATAAATAAAAAGGTGATACAGACTAGAAGCCATTTGTTTTTTTAATCTTTTACGAAAAAGAAAACCTTTGAGGGCTAAGCCTTTTTTTTTTTACATTGTTTTTCATCAAACTTCACTGGTAGATTTTTCCATTTTAAATTTGCTCACAGCAGCACAGCCTCAAAATTTTCATCCTCTGACTCAGTGCTTTAGAGATGTGGTTCTTCAGGTGCTTAGATACTATACCGGTGATTTGATTTGAATTAGGGGACTTGATATCTTTGTTTTAAGTGGCTTGAACATCTTAGAAGAAAGAGTGCAGTTCTCTACTAAAAGTGATCAAGGCCCTGCAGTGAAATGTCTTATTCCTGGACTGGGCAGAGTGGTACGAGGTGAGCCTGGGGCATGTAGTTATGCCAGAAGAAAGTGCTCCAAAAGCGATGGGGGTGGGACACAGGAACCACTGCGCAAATCCGGTGCTGTGCCTGGCACTCTGGATTGAACAAAGCCAAGAGGAAGGAACATGTGCATATTCACCATTTTGCTCTCCTCACAAAGCAAGAAAATTCTGTCAGTTTCTACTGAGAAACCCACACTGTCTACGCCATTCCCTCTAATAGACTTCCAGCCCAGGAACATGACAGTGAGTTCTAAAATGGAATTTTGTTATAACCAATGCAATAAAACTTTGGGGGACTCAGATTTTTCAACGTTTTATTGTAAGGAGAATAAGATTTTAAAGTCAGCTTAAGGTTCAGAAAACAGGCGAACTCAAGGTGAAACATTGTTGTTAAAGCACGACCAGGACAACTTACACAAACTGCTAGAGACCTACAACTGGTCAACTAAAATGGAAATGACACCTCACTGGTTGCTAAAAATGCTCAAAAACAGTGTGATGCTAGCTGACACCACTGCCAGAAAGAGCTGAGAGAAGTTAGTCCACAATTCAGAAAGGGTAGAGGCAGGGTTTGAACCCAGGCAGTCGGGCCTAAGAACCTACATTTTTAATCCCTATACCAGCATAAGTTAAATACCAATTCCCCAGTACACATTCCTTCCAAACAGTTCCAAGATGAGGTCTGCATCCAAAATTAAGCCATCAGAGTTGCTAGCGACCCTCAACCCAATTAACAAGCAACACTTTCCCAAGCCTCATTCCACACCAAGAACCAATAAAAGATCACATTTCTCCCCATTTAATTGCTATTGTCCAGACACTTTCTTCCTATACTGAGCGGTGCTCATCAGGGCTCTTATCAGAACTCTTTTGTCCTACTTTTATCTGAAGAACTGATAAGGAATTTCTTTCTACTAAATTCAGCCATCTCCTTTATTTCCCCCATCTCCTTCCACTGAGAGAGCACCACGCTGACATCTTGCGAATACCAGCCCCAAACAGACAGCAATTTTTATCTTTCCCTGCGGACACTGACCCATGCTTTTATTAAGCACAAACGGAATACTGCCCCGCTGAATGCACTTTGGAAACATCCTCAAATCATTTAGTTGCAACAGCATGCTTCCTTGTCAAAGAGTTGGTGGCCTTTCAGGTCATTCCATGCTCCACACAGGATCCTCAATTCCCATTTGCAAAACAGTTTTCACCTGAGGTATCCAGGCAGCAGATCATCTAATGCACCCATTATAGAGGCTCAGGTGATTTTTTTTTTCTTCACTCAAATTGCATGACTTTAGACAAAACAGCATTCCCTGATTCCTTTATCTTGGGCATCACCTCCTCCTCCTCTATCTTAAGAAATGCAAGCGTGACCTGCTCCCTTACAGAGTAAAAGAAACCAGAGGTTTCAAAGTCCATCCTTGGGATTGTAGACAATTCCATGTGGTATGGAAAATTTCTAACAGTTTCTGAGTGACTAGCACTGAGACTGTGTGCTAGTCACAGCTGGGCACGATGAAAAGGGGGATCCTGGAAAGTCAGGCAGTGCTGAGAGGGGCAAGGGCCTGGCGGGTACAAAGAAGGAGTCTAATCACCTGGACTAAGTATGACTTCCAGGGAAAACATACCTACAAACATTCCTACTCTAGTTTGAGCGTGAGTAAATCCAAGCATCCTACTTGGAACAGGCTTATCACCAATGGAGAATGGCTCAGCTTACTGCTTAATTTTCATTTGTCAAGCTCCTGGTATATTCCAGACACTGAACTTCACACACTGACACAGATCGGAGTATTTCACAATGATAGAGGGTTCAGCCTGTCCTTGAAAAGAAAAAGTATGCAGCTAAAGCCAGGCCCGCCCCTAACCTCTGGGGGGCCCGGGGCAAGAGGACGATGACGGCCCACAGAATTACTTGAAACTGCTATCCTCTAGCAGACTGTCACAGAGTCCTCCTTCCTTGACATATGCAGCTTTATAACAACCTGGAAGGCCAGGTACAATTAGAATTCTCAGACCCCTCAGTTCTGGGCCAGGTGTGAGAGGGCAGCCCCAGCCAATGGACAGAATCCCTTCCCTTCCCCACCCAGGCTCCATCTCTCCTCCAGGAAGGCCTCTTGGGCACACCTGTAGGCCCTCAGCCCATATTTCCAGGCTCTTCCACAACCCCAGTACAGCTGCTCCATTAGGCACTCCTCAGGGAGGGGGTATGCTCCCCCTACTTGCATAGAGCAGGCTTGGGGTCTTTGAATTCCCTATTTCAATGGGGGTCTGGGGTGCGGTGGGCAGTGTGGACTCTGGGTGGGCAGTCGGGTCCACCTGCAGACACTAGCCCAGTGGGGAAGGGCACAGCCTGGGGAAAGGCAGATCCTGCCCCCCTAAACCCAGGGAATAATTACACAGGGGTTCCCTTGCCCAGGTCTGAAGGCAAAACTGACAAAAAGCCTTCTCTATTTTCTTCTAGCTAAATGGACTTTTCTTTCCTTCAAGCTTTCTGGGAGGGTGACTCCTTAAAGATGAATAAACTGGTATAAGAGAGGATTCCTGTCTGGAGGAGATGAAAGAAAAAGTTGAAATATTTGCAGCTCTAGAAAGATATGATAGCTGCTACCCTGGTCTCAAAGAAGGAAAAGGTAAATATTCCAAAAAACAGCAAATGGACTGAACAGGGTTCTATAAGGTCAGAAGAGAAGGGATCCTGCCCTACGGCATATTTGGGGCAAACCTTAACATTCTCTTTCTGTTTTTGGAAGTGGGCGTCCCACCTAGGCCTGTGCGGAGGCCAAAATAACCCGACGAAGAAGTAGCCAGCGCGGCTGGGGCAGCGGAGCCCCAACCGTAGGAACGAGCAAACGAGCACACGCTGAGCGGACCTGAGCTAGGGAGGTGTGGGCCTTCGGCAAACAGGCCTCCCCAGAGGGACCCCCGGGAGGCAGGCGGGACAGTGGTTAAGGCTTGGGCTTCACCCCCGACGACCGACCCGGTATCTGCTGTGTCTTTCTTTCCTCAGTCAGGGCAAGTTCGCCAACTTTCCGTCCTCCGTTTTTAATTCTAAAACGGAGAAATCACCTGCTCGCATCACTGCGCGGTGATGCCAAGAACTTAGCGCAGTTCCACACTTCGTAAGCTCTCGGTCCCCCGTGCTTGTTTAGACGTGAGAGCGCAGCGGGCAGAGCTAGCGCTGAACCCAAGATGGGGATCAAGCAGCTCCCCACCACCGACCCCCAACATCCAAGATACGGTTCTACAGAGGCTGTACGGCGCTGGGGACCGAGGGGCTGGGTGGATGAGGCTTTAGGGAGAGAGGCAAAGCACAACGGGGAAAGCAGACAGGGATCGAATGTTACACCTCAGCCCTGTTTGGAGGTAAGAAAGGGGGTGCCTTCGAATGACGCCCAGCTGGAGGTGCAAAGGACGGGGCCCAACTTGCTGCCATCCGCGAGCCCCTGGGGAGGGGGAGGAAGCTGCGCGGCACCCCGCTCGGCTCCAGGTCCTCCAGGCGTGTCGTACGCGAGGGAAGCGGCCGGGAGGGAAACACTCGGCGCTCAGGGGTCTGGGAGACGCAGCCACTCACCCAGCAGCAGCAGCTTGAGCTCGCGGCGCGCGTCCTTCTTGTCCCGGCGAAGCTGCCGCTCGATCTCGGCGCTGATGCGCTGCGACTCCTTCTCCTCCGCGGACAGGCAGCAGCAGCCGGCCATGGTGCGCGCAGCCCCCGACGGGCTACGCCGTTTCCAGGGCCCGGACGCTCCGCCGGACGCTCTCCCAGCCGGTCCGCGACGGCACCCGAGGTCGGTGGGAAAAGACTGGGGTGCCGACTCGACTTTCGGAGTACAAGGCCGGGACCACTAGGGCTCAATCCCTCCTCGAAGAGTCGGCTCCGGGGCGGTAGCGAATTTGGAGCTCTGGGCTCACCCGGCCCCAAGCTCGCTCAGGGGAGGCGGAGGGCGAGCCGGGGGAGAGAGCGTTGCCGGCCCCCGGAAGATCAGCGCGCCCCTTGGCACAGGAGCGTGACAGGGAGCGCAGACCGCTCGTGAAAAGTTGGGGCGTCGCTGCCGGGGGCAGTGGGGAGCGGGATCTCCCGGCCTGGGGGTGTCCCAGGCAGGTGGCAGGCAAGGCGTGGGATGGAGGCAGAGGTCCTTGGCTGGCCCTTTCCTACAAAGTTCTGAAAACCTCAGCAGTGATCGCCGCCTAAAACCGAATGGAAAAGTTCCTGGAAGCCCCCGTGGCTCTAAGTGGCAGAAGGAGGCGGAGCTTCTCGAACCCGCAGCCCTGGCCTCTGCCCGAGCTGGCCTTCGGGTCACGCCAAGCCGAGGGCGCCTGGGGCCGAAAGAGGTGAGCAGGGAGCTGGGGCGCGGAGCCCAGGCGTCTCGAGTTTCGGGGAGCGGCCCCCACACCTTTCTCCCCGGCCGTGGCGTCCCGGCGCGGGGAAGACGGTGGGCCGAGAGACCGCCAGGCCCAGCTCCCTGTCCGGAGCCAGGTTCCGACAGGTGAGTGAGGTTCGCCAACTCGCAGCCTCAACTCCTCCCAGCTGCGAAAGGAGCGGAGCCCAGCGTCCGCAGCGCGCCGCAGCCCGCGGGCGGCGAGGTTGAGCTCTGCGGACCTGAAATTGAGCCTCTCGCGCCAGCCTCAGCACGACGCACACCGCGGTTTCCTAGACGGGCTCCTTCCGCTTCCCGGACGCCCCAGCCCAGCGCCGGCTCGGCCAAAGCCTTTGGTCAGCTCGGCAGTCTGCCTGCAAGGTGGGGCTGGGCCTGAGCCGGCTGGCGCTGCACTCAGAAGCAGCTGCCCCTGGGTTCAGTTAAATAAGAGAAGTGAGAGAGCGAAGGGTAAATATCCTCCCGGCCCCTTCGTAACCCGCCGGACGAGGAGGGTTGAGGAATGGAAAACGGCTGGCTACTTTGCATTTTACGATGGGAAATACTCCTGCTTTGTAAAGAGGGCTGACCCGTTTCCAGCAGCCCCTGGCATGGTCCCTGCCCCAGCCCTGAAGCCTGATAGCCCCGCCTTGCAAAGCTGTGTCCGCACAGCCACATTGGCCTGGCTCCTGGAACGTGGGGATCACGTTTGAGCTGCATTCATAAAAACTTAAAAATTAAAAAGCATCTCTTTGTACTCAAATGGCACAACAATGCGTATTAACAACATCTGATTTTGTCTTCTGTGTACATTTTGAGGCAGAGGGCAAAGAGTTTCGCGGGAAAAGCAGAAAAGTGAAGGTGGAGGGAGGGGATCCCGCCGTCCACAGCAATGAATGTTTTTTTTTTTCCTTCTCGTCAAGTCAGCATGTGCCATGTAAACACTAAATGGCGTTAGGCAATTAGCTAATGCTTCCTCTATTAATAGAAGCCTAAGTGCCTTTCTTAGGAGTAGCATATATTTCAATTCAAACTGAGGAGCATATTGAGTGGAGAGAGTGGTATATGTCATTCTATAAAGAACTTGGCATTAGGATGCTATCTGGCTGCAAGGTCTTATTATTTATTTTACAGTTTAGGGAATGTAGAGGAATCAGGCATTAAAAATGCATGTGCTTACATTCTTAAATGCATGATTATTTTAGTTTCCTTGCAGGCATAAATTGACAGTAACAGCGACCCCTACAGGAAAGCTTCTGGACATGATCTTAGCCATTTAGTCACACATCTCTCTTAGCTCTTACATTCATTTACAATTTGAGAATAAGACCTCTTAGCTTCTCAAATTAATAATTGCGTCATAATTATTAGTAGTTTTTAAATGATTAAAATTAGGGCAAATTTGAACTCCCAAGTTAACTGGAATAACTCTCCTGTTAGGTCTAAAGTTGCTAAGATTGCAAGAAAGATATGAAGCGTATTGTTTATAGCAAATCTGCAAAACTTTCCTGGGCTGGTGAACTTGACAGTGTGTATCAGAAGCCTTAAACATGTCCATCCCCTTTGACCAAACTAGTAATTCTCCCCTTAAGAAATTATCGGAGAGGCCAAAGTTTTTATTTCTAATAACAACAACTCAAAACAATCTGAATGCCCAACAAAGGTGAATAGTTCCAATAAATTATGGTATTATGCATACAATGAGATATTATATAGTCATTAAATATGTGAATATGTAACAAACATGTGAATAACAAAGATTTGGGGGGAAACCTCAAAATATATGGAGTGTAAAAGTCAAGATACAAAAATATAAACAGTATGATACAAATTTTATTATGGGAACACACATAATGCATTTTTAAGGGACTAAAAGAACATATACCAACAAGGTAAGTTGCTCTGAGTCATAGCTTTTTGCTTGATTTTAATTCGCTGATATAAAATTATTGGGGGCAGCTTGCATAAAGTAATCTAGGCCCCAATTTCCTCAGCTGTAAAATCAAAGAGGAAGAACCAGAATAAACTCACAGGGATCTCCCAACTCTAACATCAATTATTTCTTTGCTGATTTTCACACTTATAAGATAGTATAAAAATAATCATAAACCAAAAGTTGTTATTGACGAGTGGTAGCTAGAGAGGATTGTAAAACTAGGATATCACAAGTCAATTATTTTTATACTTCTATTTTTTAAATTCACATCTATTTTCCCTATCTTTAGGATCTGGGGAAGGGATGGGAATAATTTTAAGTTACTGATTCATTTGCAACATTGTTACCGAAATTTGGCTTCTTGTACATTGGTGGCTGATTAAATCTCAGAGACACAGTTCTGGGCGAAGCAGAAAGAAATAGCTTTATTGCTTTGCCAGGCAAAGGGGGCCACAGCGGGGTAGTGCTTCAAGGCTGTATGTCCCATCCTGGAGGGGGTAGTGAGGAGTCTTACACTATTCAAGTAACAGGGCGTGATCAGCTCGTGGACATTCTTCTGATTGGCTGGTGGTGAGGTAATTGGGAGTCAGCATTATCAACCTTCTGGTTCCTACTGGTCTGGGGGTCCATGTGCTTGTGGGCCGCTTACAGTTAACTACTTCCACCTCGTGGGGCTTTCGGTATCTGCCAGACAGCTCAAAACACATGGCTCAATATTATCTATAGTCCTTGAGGAAGCACTGAAGGACCTTGACTTTGTTTAATGGCTAAAATATTATTTGGTCTTGCTTGACTGTTTTCCTTTCTTTCTGCATTTTCTCACTTCTCTGATTAAATGTATTCTTTGACAAGTTTTTCTACAGACAAAAGGCAGGCAGAGGACATGAGTGGGTGTCTATTCTGGAAAGGCTTCACAGGGTCCTGCTCTGTTACCACATCTTTCCAGGAAGGGGTAGTTTTGAAAAGAAGTCTCAGTAAAAAAGAATATTTGTTTTCTTGGGTTATCCCCGAAGTGCTGAAATTCCATTTCATTCCTCTTGAGCACAGGCTGAACATGACTTTTCAGATACCTGCCAAGTGCTGGGCTGCAAAGGTGAACTAATTGTCTGACTGTCCATTGAGTCCATGCCAACCCCATTACCAGGCTCTGGGAATTCAGATACTGAGACATTCCAGATTTTAGGTAGGCTATAGTCTAGTAGAAAGAAGTAAGATTATGACCCTGAAATCTGAAGTCAGCCCTCCTTGCTTCCTCCCAGAGAGCAGACAGTGGAGCACAGAATCCCCTGGGCGGTTCCCCACAGCCTTTAGATGCGCACAGGGGCCCTTCAGCTGAGCCTCATCTCCCATCATTCTCCTGGAACCTCAGACAAATGTAACTCCATGTTCTCCACACCTCCATGTCTTACTTCATGCGTTCCCTCTTCCAGGAATGCTCTCTCTTACCCCGGACAAAATTAGGTACTTTCTTTCCCAAACACATCTCTTCTGAGACACCACCTCCACCCCTTGTCAGTCAGACCCATCTTTCTCTGCTGCCTGAGCACCTCCTATGTTCCTCTCTTCAACATCTCACTCTATTATACCTGTTTGTTTCTTCTCCTAATCCATTAGTTACTCACAAGTAGCGAGTTTTTTCTTGTTCATCCTGGTATTTCTAAATTAATAACATTTCGTTGACTGAATAACATTGAAACCAAAACGAATTACCTGAGATAAGAGAAAGAAGAAACTAGAAGAGAGAACGGAAAGTTCTTATGGTGGAAGACAGTAAAAACAACAACAGCAACAGCAAGCAAGTCCACAGCCAATCAATGTATGACTTAGGAAGGACTCTGTCCCCAATTTGCCTCCTTAGAG